CAAGCAACCATCAGGCATTCAGGTATATTCTAGCCACGTCCCAGCTGGTAGATGGGATGCATCCATTCTGGCCCTCTTCTAGCTGCTCTGTGTGCTGAAGCTACTAGAATGATTCAGCATCCATTCTGGCCCTCTTCTAGCTGCTCTGTGTGCTGAAGCTACTAGAATGATTCTTGCAAAACACAGCTGCAATGTGTGTGACGTTATAATTCCTAAAGCTCTTTCAGAAGCTCCTAGGGGTTCCCATAGTGTTTGGCCATTCCCGCCTTCCAGCTTCATCAGACGCCTCTCCCTCACTTCCACTCTTCACCTCCCATGCCATCTTTTCTCTCTTATTGTAGTGGCACTTGTTCACTTACCTCTAGACTTTTGCACAACTTGTTTCCTCTGCTCCACATTTTATTCTCTTTGCTTAGTTTTCCTCTACTAAATCCTTTAGATTCTATCTCTCTATGAGAAGCCCTCTTTTTTAAATTCCCTGACTTTTTTGCCTCAGTATTGTGAATTGTGTATAGCACTGTGTATCTTCTTCATATAATACATATAGCTAAGTTTTACACGTTTCCTAGCTTTGTTTTTTTAATAATGTCTCTCTTCCTAGTAGGATCATAAGTCCCATTAGGAAAGTTGCTAATCTCTGGATATTGTTCACCATTGTGTTCTCATGGCCTCACCAGTACCTGGTGCACAACCAGTGCTCTGCTAGTGTTTGATGAGTAAATGAACAGGAGGCAAGATAGTTTTAAGTCTGAACTTATTCTTACAGGATTAAGGGCAAAAGAAGTCTGTGGAAAATCAACAAGATAATCCTTAGTTCCATGATAAGCTGAATATTGAGACTGAGGAGAGAAGAACCTAAAAATGTGGAACAATACTAGGGTGGCTTTGATTTTTGGCTTAAGGAATTTAGTTTTCCCCTGTGGGCTATGAAGAACAACAAAAAAATGTGACTATTACTATTCCCCTTAAAAATGTTTCAGTATTTAAATTTGCTCATTATTATTTCATCTAGTCCTTTCCATTAGAAGTATTAAATTATCTCATTTCTCCTAATTTAAGATACCATCTAACATAGCTATTTTTGATAGTTTTGTCATTTTTGCCACAAGTTATTTTAAGTTAATATCTTGTTTCTTTCTTTTATTTCCATTCATTAAGTCCTTTAGGAGCTACTTTTGGACCATTTAAAAATTACATTTGTAAAAGAGCAGAGAGAGTTTAACTTTTTCTGAACTATAGTTTTATGAGAGCAGTCAATTATAATCCTAAAATTTTATATACAAAAGTTTCCATTATTTTTTATTGTTTATTCATTTATTCATATGTGCATACATTGTTTGGGTCACTTCTCCCCCTGCTCCCCATCCCCCTCCCCTCTCCCCACTCCACTCACTTCCAGCAGATCCTGTTCTGCCCTCTTCTCCAGTTTTGTTGAAGAGAACACATAAGCAATAATAAGAAAGACATAGCATTTTTGCTAGCTTGAGATAAAAATAGCTGTACAGAGAGATTCCTAACATTGTTTCCATGCACATGTGTGTTACAACACACTTTGGTTCATCTCTACCAGACCTCCTCACTACTTCCCACTCACCTTCCCATAGGGACCTCTCTCAGTTTAAGATTACTTTATTAGCTCCTCTACAGTGGACACATCAAACACTTTCAAGTTTTAGGTTTCCTTCCCTTTCCCTATTCCTCCTGTACACGTTCTCCTCTTAGCATGTGACCCATGTCTAATAATATTACTGTAATGGTTTCAGGTCTATAATCTACATACAAGGGAGAACATACGATTTTTGGCCTTCTGAGCCTGGCTAACTTTTCTTAAGATGATATTCCCCAGCTCTTTTATTAACCATAGTGTTGTTCTCATTTTAAAAGAATGGTTTTTAACAAGGAATATTAATTTTACATTTTCCTTCATTGCTGTTAATATCACTTGTCCTCTGAAGCTACTGAACCCATATAATATAACAAGTAAGTCAATGCAAAGATGTAAAAAGAAAGCTAATGTATTTCTATCCCCATGAAGTACATTGAATTTTCTTTTGGCACATGTAGACAGGTACAAGCATATACATACATTTAGGCATTTGCTCTTTTAAAATGGCCTTTAAACCATTATTTAGTAAGTTCTGAAATTACAGCACAAATTGACGGAGTACTATGGAACAGTTTCTCTCAAAATGCTGTTTAGGAATTGTTTTTTTCACTTGATAGGTAGAGATCAAGACTGGGCAAAAAGTTAGTGAGACTCTATCTCAACCAATAAGCTTGGTGTGGTGTTGTGCACCTGTCATCTCAGCTATGGGAGAGACCTAAATAGGAGGATCCTGGTCACAGGCCAGCCTGGGCATAATCTTGATACCCTATTTGAAAACTAATTAAAGCAAAAAGGGATGGGGCATGGATCAAGTGGTAGAGTGAATACCTAGCAAGTGCGAGGTCCTGAGTTCCAACCCCAGGACCACCCTCTCAACTCCCTGCCCCCAGTTTTGTTTGTTTGTTTTTTTTTTTTTTTTTGGAGACGCAGTTCCTTTATGTCGTCCAGGTTGACTTCATACTCTCCATTTTCCTTCCTGAACCTTCCAAGTGAATGCTAGCATTCCAGGTATTTGTGATTACGCCCAGCTGATGTTTATGAATTTTGAGGCTACAAATTCAGTTTCTTTAGTATCTTTATATACACCCCAGATATTTTCCCAGCATTTGTTGGTAATAGCATGTGATTAGGGAAATTTTTCTATAGACTTCTAAGACAGCTAGCTGTAAGTTGTCATGGGAAAATTCCTTCCATTACAATTCTATATTGTTGAAATATAGAATTGGGTAGTACTCAAACAGCATTTGACTACTTATGATCATTTTTCTGGTTTCTATAAAGCCATAGCCAGTTCTCTGAACTGCTATTCAAAATATGTTACATTAAATGTCAGAAGTTAATTCCATACTTGTTTATATATTTTATAGAACATTATATATTTTATAGAACAAATCCCTTTGTTAGCTGGTTTCTACCTGATATTTGGACTTACATGGTAATATATTTGATAAGTGATACTACCCTACCTGTCACTAAGTCAGCTTACCTTAGACTGACTTCATTGTACACACATATACACAAGCTAACCACTTGGTTTAGGGGACAGACCTTGTATTTATTCATAGAGTATCTTGTGTTGCTTCTTCCTAGCTCCACATAGGACAGTATGGTGGGAGTGAGCTTCCTAAATGTATAAAAGTTGCACCACAAGTAATATGTAAAATTATGAAACTCTGAGCTTCTATAGGAGCTGTGGGCACAAGTAGAAAAAAGAAAGAAGTAGGCTGACTGATCTGCCTGAGGATTTTATCTTTTACTCTTGGAATGTAAACGACTGCCTGCTAAGCAAAGTACTGGAGCATTTACTCCACAATGTAAGCATTTGCCTCCTTGGGACATATGAAGAGTCTCCAGGCTTTTTTAACTGTAAAATTAGAGAAAATGACTCTGGAGGAGTAGAGACGTTCTGTCTTTATAGTGCTATAGTTTACATTATTTAGAAAGTTCTGACCATGTAGGAACACCAACTTCTTTAGGGAGGATTGTCTTTCAGGTAGCCCAAAAAAGTATCTGGAAAGGACATGTTACCCTTCTCACCCATCTCAGTAAGCTAGTAAGCTGGTTTTTTGTTTTAAATTAGGGAAAGACCTAAGTTTTATTTTGTTTTGTTGTTTTTATAGCTATACCCACATTGCATGCTGCCTCCAATATTTCTTTTCTCTTATTTTCAGTCTCATATTTTGTACTATTCCATTTATCTAGTTTTTTACCTGTATTTTCAAAATCATATGGAAAAGCAAAATAAATTTAAATGACTTCGTGGATGGCCAAATGGCAATGTGCCTCTTTTTTTTTTTTTGCTGTTGGTGTGTGTTCTATAATTACCTCAACTGTGGGTTTACTAATAACTCATTTTTCTTGTTTGTTTTTTTGTCTTTTATAATGAAGAAGGTTGATTAAAGAGTTTAATACAGATTTATGAATAATTGAGCTTTTAGTCATTTGTGTTTATGAACGTGGCCTAAAACCCTGAAGGCAACAGTCAAAAGCCCATCTAAAAGGAATTATAATTTTCTGAATTTCCTTTTTAGCAGTCTAGTCTTAATTAGTCTGGTTAAGTTAATTTAGAGTGTATTAACTTAGTAGGACTTCTTCTACTGAACTAATTAAGAAAATAAGGTTTACCTTTCCTTGAAGAATCACTGGATGTATGTCATTTGAGAAAAGTACAGTTGAGTGTTCAAGAATCATAGTGATTATTGACTGTGCTGATAGAGGTCTTAAAAATACATTTTTGTTGTTATTTTCCTGAAATCAGATTCAATCCAGAACATCTTTTAATATTCAAAAATAATAAGCATCCAATCCAGTGGCATCTGTAGCAATGAAATTGTTACCAGCTTGCTCACTAATGAATTTTATTTCCAAGTTATAGAGTAGCTGCTCTTGCTTTGCTTAATTTGCTCTTCATAGTAGATACTGTTATTCTGTGGCTATCAATAACTAAAGTCAATGAAATTTTGTACTGTTGTGGAGGTCAGTAAAATGTTTTTCTGTGTGATACTTTAATATATTAAAGAATTTTTAATTGTGTTTATTAGTCTTTATTGTGTTGATCTAGGTTTATAATGAATTATATGTGTCTAAGTTTGTATTGTCAGTACTAACTCATAGTTTGAGTCACAGCACTCAAGTTTTAGTCATATTTTTGAACATGAAAGCCTGAGTTAGAGAAATTTAGGATTTTAAAACTGGTATACTATTTTTCCTTCATCACGAAGTTAGTCATTACAGGTCTTTTGGCTTCAACATATATTTCTTAACTTTCACTTAAAAGTATGTGTGGCTTTATGAATTTTTTCTAATTAATAATGCATTTAATCTACATCACTGCAGTCCAGCTGCAGCAGGGGCTCCAACTCTGGTCTTGGGTGCTCGGGCAGCAAATAACGACATGAACTTGGGGTTGTGCCGGGCAGCAATGGCGCAGTTTATTTTCTCAAGAGAGTATTTTAGCAGTGCAGAAAAGCAGGAAAGAGTATGTGGCAGTCCCCAGGTCTCCCTTGAGCTCTGTACTGGGATCGGCTGTCAGGTTGCCATGGCTACAAGCCCAAGTGCAGAACATCATGTTCTCAGGACTGGGTCTTCCTGGTCCCACGCAGAGAGAGAACAGGGGAGTTCAGCAACTGTCCTCTTGGACTGTTGCAATCTCTCTTAGGGCTGTTGCACAAAAGCTACACTGACTCCGCTCCTTTCCAAGAGGCTTTGGGGGTCCCAAGAGTTTCCCACACTACATAATGAAATTTTAAAGTAGAAATAGATTTCTAGATGTATGCTTTTATAAAGAACTGAGAGTGGTTCATAATTTGGGTTCTCTTTTGGTTGTCTATTTGTCTCATTAAGAGTAGGGTGAATAGAATGCCAAATATACACTCTACTATATTTCCTTTGGGCATAGGAACTATATTTGAGTCATTGATTTTCATTCTAACTATTGATCAGAGTGGAAGTTGTTATAAAGACTAAACTAAGTCAATATTAGCAATGTTTAGCAAATATTTACTGAATACCAGTGTGTGCCAGAGACTGTGTTAAAGGCAAGAAGCAGAAACATTCCCTGCATAAGTATTGCTTGTAATTTGATGATGGAAATAAAATTCATCAAATAATTATGCACACAGTATAAATGTACAGATTTGATAAATGATGTTTTCAAAGGGAAAGTATACATTACTAGAAAACACAGAATAGTGATAGTAAAGCCTTTACTCCTCCTTTAGCTTTGAAGAAATTTGTATTCTTTCTCAGTTTTCCTTGATAATTTTTTTCTGATCAATTTGAAACATTTCACTTGGAATAATTTGAATACTATTTATTTATCAGGCAGGCAATCTCTCAAGATTACACATATGTAAAATAATCCTATATCACTAGTTTTTAAACTGTACTGCCTACCATAAATCAGTCCTTAGCCTACCTTTCTCCTTCATCATTTTCTATGATAGTTCTTACCGAATATTTTAAGTTTGTAGCTTACTAATTTATGTTTATTATCTTTGTCCTCTGGAATGAGGGTAGTTAGCTCTGTTTTATTTATTGCTTGAATATCTAGAATAATACCTATATTAGCTTCCCATCACTTATAATGAAATACCTGAGATAATTAACTTAGTAAAGTTCTATTTTGGCTTACAATTTTTAAGGTTCCAGTCCACAATTGACTGGGCTGGTTGCTTTGGGCCTGTGGTGAGGCAACACATCATACCAGCCAGCAGGGCAAGACTGTTTCTTTCATGGCTAGGAAAAAAAATAGGAAGGGGCCAAGGCTCCATAAATCCAGTCATGGCAAGAGTCCAATGACCTGAACACCTCCCATAAGGCTCCACCTCCCATTAGTGCCAGCCTGGACCTTTCCGGGGTATTCAAGATCAAAACCATACTATTTGTTGAATAAATGATCACATTTATCTTTTATACACAATATAAGTTAATCTTTAAAATATCAACTTGTCAAATTGAATATACTAGATTCAAGATTTGCTTCCCAATGTGAAGGACTTTATACCCCAGTAAAGCAAAGGTATTTTAAAATTTAGCATATCAGAACTATGTAGGGCTATTTTCATCTTTAATTGATGAAATCATCACCAAAAAGTTTACAGTAAGGAAAATCATCCTTATACCAAATTCAGCCTTTTGACAGCAACTCCTGTGTGCTTTCTACCTGGGCTCATGGATAGCTGCTTGATATACCAGGCCATATGTAATTCATTGTACTTAACTTACTCTGCTCATGACTTTGTTACTAAGAAGTACCTCAAAATATAGTCTTGCTTATGTGCTGAAGTGATTACTATTAGACCATACAAAGTTTCAAAACAAGCTGTTAGGTACTCTCTCTGTTTTCTAAATAAGATTTATTCATGAATTTCCTTATGTTACTGGAATTAGATTTATTTAAAATTTCTTTTGTGAGCATCAGACCACACAGGTAATAGGTTCACACTTAATGAAAATTGTATTTCCATTCTTCATAGTGCCAGAGAATAGGCACTGTGGGAATGTTTTTCCCTTTTTGAAGTTTTTTCTTAATTTTTTATTATTCTTTTAATGGGGCATATTATATTTATAAAAGTGCTTACAATATACCTTAGTCAAATTTCACTCCCTCCATTACTCTCCTTTATCCTTTTTTTGATAATTGGATTTTGATATAATTTCAAGACTAAACAGTTTACAAGAATGCTCCAAAAAACACTCTTTACCCTACAGTCATCCTACTTATACTTTGCACCATTTGCTTTATATTGTGTGTGTGTATAGATACTGTGCTTCTTTCTGCCTAAATATTTGTGTATGAAATTTCTAAGAACAAAAGTAGTCTCAACATGTCCATAGCACAACTGGCAAAATTAAAAACAATATTTTTTTTTGCCATATTGGAGTTTGAATGTAGGGCTCCATACTTGCTAGGCAGGTGCTCTAGTGCTTGACCCATGTTTCCAGCGATAGGGTCTTGCTTTTTGCCTGAGCCAGCCTGGACCACAATTCTATTTTATGCTTCCTACTGTCACTTGGATGATAGGCACTCACCACCGCAACCAGCTTTTTTGTTGAGATGGGGTCTCACAAACATTTTGGCCCAGGCTCGCCTGGAACTACAGTTGTCCCTGTATCAGCCTCCTGCATAGTTTTGGGTGACTGGTGTGTATTTATTGCGATGGGGTCTCATGAACTATTTGCCTGAGCTTGCTGAGATCCCCCTGATCTCAGCTTTTGTACTGGCTAGGATTATAGGCATAAGCCACCTGGTGCTCAGATACAAAATAAAAGTTTACTATTGATATAATACTCGTATTTTGTCAATTGTCCCAATAATATGTTTCTACAGTGCTAAATATTTATAGCATAACAGTTGTTATTTTAACCATTTTAAAGTATACACTTCTATAGTATTAATTATATTCATAATGTACAACTTGTATTACTATTTCCATTTTTTATCATCCACCCAAAACTCTGTGCCCATTAAACAATAACTCTCTATCCCTCCTCCCTGTCCCCAACTCCTGGCAACCTATACTCTACTTTGTTTCTCTATGAATTTGCCTATTCTAGGCTTTTCATGGAATCACATAATACTTGTCTTTTTGTGTCTGATTTATTTTAATTAGCATAATGTTTCCAAAGTTCATGCATGTTATAACATACATCACAACTTCGGTTCTTTTAAATAATAATACATTGTATGCATGCACTGTGTTTTATTTGCCTTTTTTTATTGATTAACACTAAGGTTGTTCATGCTTTTTGACCATTGTTGATAAGGTTCTATGAATATTTATGTACAAGTGTTCTTTTGGATACCCGTTTTTAAGTTCTTTTGGATATTTACCTAGGAATGGAATTGCTAGTTCAAGGTAATTCTTTGTAACTTATCACAAAAATGCCGAACTGTTTTGACAACAGCTGTACCAGTTTATATTTTTTTCAGCAATGAGAGTTTCAATTTCTCCACACCCTTGACAATACTTTTTTTCCTTTTCCTTTTTTAAAATATCACAGTTGGTGTGAAGTTGTGTAGGTCATAGTGGTTTTGGTTTTATTTCTTTAATGAGGTTAAGCACCTTTTTATGTGCTTATTATGGGCCATTTGTACTATATACCTCCCTTGGGAAAGTGTTTATTCAATTTCTTTAAGCTCCATTGAGGTTTTTTTTTTTTAAGCTTATTGTCATTCAGGAGTTATTTTAGGGGTTACTTACATGTTTTGGACATTAAATTCTTACCTCACATATGATCTGATTTTCTGTAAGCATCTTTTCATTACCTCAGTAGTGTCTTTCTTTTTAATTGTTGTACTGGGTATACACTGTGACATTTACAAAAATTCTTAAAATATATCATAGTTGAATTCATCCCCTCCATCTTCCTCCTTTATCTCTTTACCCCCCATTCCTGGAATAGTTTCAGTAGGTCTCATTTTTCCATTTTCATACATGTGTACACAATATTTGCACCATATTCACCCTCCCAACACCCTTTGCTTATATCCTCCCCCTCCCACTGGTAACACCCCCCCGAGACAGGACTTGTTTTGCCTCCCTGTTTTCCATTTTTAAAGAAAAAAATGACATTTTTGTTTGTTTGAAATAACTACACAGGGTGTTTCATTGTGACATTTTCATGTATATATTATAACCCTTAATTGGTTTGTCCCCTCTATTTTTGTCCTTTCTACTTTAGTTCCCTTCTTATGGTGATGTCAACAGGTTTAAAAATTCTATATTCATTTTTGTATAGGAAGTACATCAATAGTGCCTTTGATGCCCAAAAGGTTTTACCTTAATGAAATACAATTTTTCTATTTCTGTTGTGTTATTTGTGCTTTGTTATCATATTGAAGAAATCACTGTCAAATTTGAGGCCATGAAGATTTTCTCCTGTTTTCTTCTATGAGTTATATAATTTTAGCTCTGAAATTTAGGTCCTTGATCCAGTTTGAATATGTTTGTAAATAGCATAAGGAATGGGTCCAGCTTCATTCTTTTGCATGTGGACATTGTTTTGCCAGTACCATTTGTTGAAGAGATTGTTTTCCTCATGCGTACTGTGTCAAAAAAAATGACATATGTTACCTATCACCAAGAGTAGTGGGAACTCCATTAAGCTGCCTTCATTGCCTTGTGACATGTTCCCATCATTTTTGAGGCTCTTCCTTCCTTTGGGGTTCTTCTAGCTCATCTTGCAAACATTTTTTAAGTTGAAGAGTGGTATTCTGAAACTAATGCAACTTTTATTTTTTAAATGACAATTTCATTGATTTTTTTCCTCAAAAATATAATCCAGAGAAAATGGAAAGAGATGATGAGATTTTAGCATATTCAACCTTTTATCCAAAAGGAAATAGTTTTAAAGAGTCTCTTTCCATTGGAAGAGTTCTTCCTACAGCAATTACTTCTAGAGTGTTCCAAGGTGCTATGGTGTGCCAGAGGAGTAGTCATGCGTTGGGAGTGAGAGATGAACTATTTGGAAAGA